ATCGGAAAGAACATGCCAAGTATGGTTTCAGCGATTTAAGATTGGTGATTTTGATGTCAATGATAAAAAACGCTCAGGCCAACCGAAAAAGTTTGAAGACACCGATTTGCAGGCATTATTGGACGAAAACTCTACTCAAACGCTCCAAGAATTGTCTGCAGCATTAAATGTTACTCCGATGGCTGTTTCCAAACGTCTACATGCAATGGGAAAAATTCAAAAGGAGGGAAAATGGGTACCACACGAATTAACCGCAAATGTGTACATCGAACATAACGTTTCCTTTCATCATAGATAAACTGAAAGAAACATCGCTCGTATATACACAGAAAAAGTGCTAAATTCGAGTAAATAATTAATCCAACACCCCTTAGCGAATTTTTACTTGGATCAAGTAATATTTACCTGATCCAAGTAAAATATTTTCCAAGTAATCTAATAATTAAAAATATTATTTATAGTATATATAAAATATACTATAAAAATATATGGTAAAATATCATCCAAGTAAAATTAACTTAATACACGTAAAAATGTTTCAAGCACTTTTTTTTCTGTGCAATATTCAAATCTGAAACCAACGAAATTACATCGGCACCGATCTCCACTGAATTATTTTCATACATGCGCTCCGTTTCTCTCGTTGCAGGAAGACGTAGCGATTTCTGTTCACGATCGAGGCCTTGTCAGAACGAGGGCTCGTGTTCTCAAATATCGTCGGAGCCCGGATTCAAATGTCGCTGCGAGGGAACCGGATTCTTCGGCACTTACTGCGAGATACGTTAGTATAAACTTCTCCGATGACGGTGAACGGCATATAGGATTAGTAAGTGGACATCTCGGTGGAGGATAAAAACGACGTATATTTATATCGAACACCTAAGTCGTCGCATATTTTCTTTCTTTTCTCTTTTTTTTTCTTTCCTTCTTTTTTCGAGCTTCTGCGAAACGCTGTTACGATAACGCAGAGGAGAGAGCGGAGAGAGAAAAAGAAAATGAACGCAAACGATTTCTGTGTTACAGCCTGTCCGAAGACGAACAATCCACACTTCCAAGGACAGTTCCCATACGAGTGCATCGTGATCTAATAATCTCGGGTACTTCTTCATCTCTCTCGTCTGATTGAATTCGTTCTTTTTTTTTTAATATGATACATACGTACAAAAAGGAAAGAAACGCATTTTCACAAAACATATTTACACACATCTTTGTACATACATAATAAATGTTAAAACCAGACGGCACACCATCACGGCACTTCATCTCCCCGCTATTCTCTTTACATCCCGTTTCCGAAGGTAGGCATGATTGTTTTGTACTTAAAACGTTTCGCGAATCGTCGTGCAAGTACATCGTCACGAACCGTTAAAAATAGCCCCGTGTAACTTCGAGATCTCGTGGAAAGTAGTAGTAGATGTATTATTTCGATGCTTCCACTGTTTATTCATCAATAATTTTACAATATGTATGCACATGATGTGTTGGATCCATGAGATTTTTTTTTCCTTTTTTTTCTCTTCTTCTTTCGAAACAAACGTTTAGTTTGTATCGTGCTTGTGTTGTTTTACGTACTTTACGTTATTTTTACGTTATTTCTCTCGCATACCTCTACGATAATGCCACATGTACCTCGTTTATCGTTCACAGATGGCAAAACTTATAAAACGCGAACCACCTGCTCTTTACATAGATGGTTCTTTTTTTTCTTTTCTTTTTTTTTGTAATTTTCACCGTGTCCACAGAATCCGTAATACTAATTTGATTTCGACAACACGAGACTGCATCAGGAACTTAACGACATGTACATATATATATTTATATATAATATATTATCTAAGACAAAACACAGTTGGCCAGTTGTAACTTTTTTTTCACCTTTTCCTTTTTACAAATTCATAGACGTATCTTCAACGGAGAGTGGACTCGATATCGTAATTCATTGTAACAGAACACCCCGCTTCTAAGAAAAAAACGCGATAAAATTATTATACATCCAATTTCAGCGAAGGATCCGTAACGCAAACCGTACCTTCCTCGATTTCACCATCGATATCGCGCGCATCAATACCTGCGTTTGCAATATAATTCTCGTTTCCTTCCTCTCTGTTTCACTTATCCGTCGTAAATTCATGTTACGTAAGCGTATACGTAAGGTAAAACTAGTAGTTCGAAGGAAATCATATAAATAAAAGTTGCGTATCAACGTGTAGGTATATTTTTTTTCTTTTTTTTTATAAAGACAGACAGAACGTCGTCATTAGAACATACAAACAGGCAGGTTGTCAGCGGTCCAAACTTCTACGTAACCTGGGATCTATTTCTGTATTCTGCATCTCTCGAACAGAATCAATTGATATATCGGCCGAATTCCTCTATCAAAGAAGTAATATTCTAGTAAAAAAATTTCGACGATTCCTACAAACTATTGATTATCTCAAAGAAAGTAACATCAAATAGACGAATAGTTTAGCGGTAAATTCATGAAGATGAGGCAAAATTAATCAAGAGAGCGTTATCGGAGTAAGTCCTAACGTTATATTCGAAGATTAAACAAACTGTTCCTCCCTGTTCGTTTTCTCCCCTTATGAGATGATAAAATGAGTCGTTGTTCTTTTTTTTTTCATTTTTTTTCCTTTTTTCTTCCTTTACTTTTATACTCTCTTCGCCGGCCTTCGATCACCATCCAGTTTTACTGATTATTATCATTATAATTATTGTTGTCACATTAGTCTGAATTTGGCAAACGTTTACGATCATGCTTACAATAATAATCTCGGTATCGAAGTGTGTGTACGGACTAAAAACAAATAATGTAGATTACAATTTGGATAATCGATAACCCCGTCTCTCTCTCTCTCTCTCTCATGGCGCATTACTCCTCTATGGCACCAGGAGTGTGCTGGCATCTTTCCTGGCTGAAGCCGCGCGTGCCATCAGGTCCTCTTGGTTGCCTGACTACAGTCAATTTTGGGCCCGTGTCTTCCATAGATATAGTACGCAATCGGCTTATCAGACGCTCTGGTCGCTGCTGGACCGCGTCACTGTTAATAATATAAATTCCTAACTAAAACTGTACATATTTTATATCTATCTAAAAACATGTTACTCTCCTCTACCAATATATTTTATTTTATACGTATTATACTTTGTTTCTACCAAAATCTTTTAGCCTATGTTTAACACTCAGACTGCCACGTCACTCATAGGTAACGGTTTTAATATAACCGAAATAAGAATAATTTTGTTAACTATTTATATTAAATGAGAACGATAAAATATAATTTATACGCAATAATACTAATGTAAAAAACAAAATTAACACTATATATATTTATTATAAAATAATCAAACTTATAATTTTCATGATATCTTGGGAAGCAATCTATACATAATTGTGATTGTTACATCAATTTTCCAAGAGTATTTACATTAGATAACATATATATGAGATATAGAATACGTATGGAAGAATAGAAGTAGATATGATCATCCTTTCATTGGACAAATGGTTTGTTTTGCACTTTGACTGTATACTATATATACGCGTTGCGACTTTGGAACCCGTGGACTTTCCGTTGGAAAGTAGCTGGGCAGTCTAAGTGCTAAGTGTGACATTTTTCTCTTCCGTTTACTCGTACGATATGCTATGAGACGGTATGAGGACAGTGCATGTTCATTGTTCGTGTCAACTCACCTCAATCGAGTCACGTTGCAGGCCGAAGACTTTCCGGTGCGTTGATTTGTAACCAAGACGAATTCCACCGAATCGCCCGGTTGTAACGTGGCGTGATCCCGAACCTCACTTATGTGGAAGAATAGCTTCTTACCCTCGTCGACCTCGTAGGCGAGAAAGCCGAACGGGCCCTTCACCGCATCCACGGTCGCTCTTCTCTTTTTCCTGACGGCTACGATGTTGCACGCGTGACCGGCTGTATCCACCTGCAGTTGCACAGGATCGCCAGCCTGCAACAGCTCCCGTTTGTTGGACAATCCCATGATCCCGAATTCGTATTCCTGCGTCTCCTCGTCCTCATTAGTAGGATTGATCTTGATCAGACCGGCGTATTCGGTCTGCTCGGGATTCGCGCTTCGCAACGGCCGTATGACGGTACCGTCGAGCACCTCGCTGACCGACGTCGGCCTGGGAATACTCCCACGGGGCACCAATTTAACATGATCAGCTGCTACGCAACCACCGGAACCTCTTCCATTACCGGAACTACTAATTGTACATTCGATATCGGCTCCCAGTTCCAACGTACTAGCATCTCCCTCGAAATTACTGCGAATGAAACATTTAATCGGACTCGTCACTCTTCGCATTAAGCGCGTGTTTTAGAAGCTCCGGTAAGCCGGTGAGACGGTGTAACCGCTTATAAATAATAAGTGAAACGATTACTCATCCCAGACGACTGTATATGTTATTATTGATAAGCCTAATATATATACATACACACTCATCGTACATTACGAAAATCGTGATACAAAAGTACAGTTCTCACCTGTAGTGGAAAAATATCTCTTTATCGTGATTTACTGTCTCAATAAAGCCAAATCCGTCCTTAAGAGCAGCAATAAAACCTTGACAAACTTGTCCGTTTGATTTTTTGTTTGTATTTTGAATTTTCTCACCAGCAGCATTTATTAAAAATATGTTAACAGCAACAAGTTCTTTATTTCGTTTTACTTGACAAATACTGAACATCACCTGCAAATCAAGTTTATTTACAGTAAGATACGCGAAGAACATGTATCTTCCTTAAAAAGGGATCAAGCATCACCAGTTTGCAAGCGTAATTAATTTTGTGTAAAGTTTACCTTATCATTCAATTTCGGAATATTTTTAGAGTCGCAATCTTTAGAGAAGAAAATAATACTCTTCTGTTGGCCGTAACCGATGAGGCCAGGTTCGACTGAACTTGTGTCCTGTATTACAGTACCTAATATATCCGTCTCTATAATAGTTTCAAATTGTACGGTACCAACTGGCAAATGTTTCAGCCTAATAGCACTTTGTCGATTATTCGAGAATGATGATGAAGGGTCCTTGCAGGGAGAGAGAAAAAAAGAGAGCGATAGAGAGATACGGAACAGTGTAAATTGCAATAATACTTAGAAATGCCGTTAAATGTTACGTCCACACTTGTTGTTGTACTCACTTGTATGATTGTAAATTCAACTTCATCCCCTACACTAATTTCTCTATCAACATCGAGAACCTCGTTAAAGTGAAAGAAAAGTCTCGCATCTCGATCTACACAACGAATAAAGCCAAATCCGTCCTTAAGAGCGGCGATAATACCTTGCTCCCGTCTTTCTCCGGACACAGTGAAAGATTCTGGTAATAACAATATCTCTGTAGCCCTTTTAAGCTGATCTCTAGTGTCCGTTGCAATACGAAACTGAACCCAGTCCCCATGCCTGTCACAGAAGGCAAAATTTGCTCTTACAGATTGGCACTTACTCAGACAAGTTCAATGTCGTCTCTTAAAAAGGGGGCAAAGTAAAAGGAAAAGATAATATTTTCGTAATTCATGTACACACGTTACCTAAGTGTAAAATCTCCTTTTTGATCCTTATCACCAAAGGGTACTTCAACCTCAGAATGATCTTCACTGTCTCTGTATCGGATACGTCCAGGTAACGGGTCATTTTGATGACGAGCTGCAGTACCTCTCTCCAAAGGTTTCAACACTTGCCCCTTTACCACTTCATTGCTGACTTCTTCAAATACGATCGAGCCCGGTGGTAACTTCGTAATGTTGCAAGCTACTTCTTTTCCCTGCAACATTACATTTTTCATTTTCTACTGTATTATATTATACGTATGTATGTCTATATGTATGAGTATATAAACGGATATTTTTTGTTTCGAAAAGCTTTCATCTCTCGCTTACATTGCGTGTCTGTATTATAAATTCCACATCGTCTCCTAGCCTCAGTTCTTCTTTCATCGACTTGGCCTCACTAAAGTGGAAGAATATCTCCTTAACTACGTCGGCACGCTCAATGAAACCAAAATTCTCCTTCATTGAGCACACCACCCCGCGATAACGAACCGGATGTGCTGGGTTCTCCAGCCTTACATGACACGCGCCCAAGTTTCCTCTAGAATTTGCGTTGACGTACAAGAAATGTCACAGCGATTTACGCAACTTCACATTAGATGCTGACGACTGATATAATCAACGTACCGTTGATTGGTAGCAATTTGAAATGACACTTTATCACCGGCACGCAAAGTGACGTTTCCTTCGACATCATCTTTGGTATATGGCAGAAAAAAGCATTCTCCTCGATTTTCATAACTGATACGTCCTTGTGAGTCTCCGCTCGCTTGTAATTCGGTTGTTACATTACCGATGCATCGTTGATCACCTAATGCCTGAAAAGAAATCATATATCCGTGTGTATCTATTGATCAATGTTTCTGACTAGACTACTCGCCATTGAAATTATTATCAATATTCTACTAACCACTGGAGCGATTTTGCTAACGGTGCTAGCAATGGGCTTGCCCGTTCGCCGATCGTAAGTCATTTCAAACTCCACCGGATCTCCGATCTTCAAATGCTCTATGTTACCACTAAATTGGCTAAAATGAAAAAACAGTCTTGCCTGTCTTTCACAGCATTGTATGAATCCGTAAGAATGCTGTCAAACAAAGGTTGAAGTTGTGTGAAAATTAGTATCATTTTTATTCAGATTGCGAAGAACGGTAAGGTTCAATGTCACCCACACGGTCACTCACCAATAATTTCTCGATTATTCCAGTTTCTCGCGTCCCTTGATTCGCAGACTGATCCTGATAGGAAGGATTATTAGCTGCAGGTTCACCAGTGTAACCGGCATTCGTCTCCATGCCCGTGAATTCAAATGGAAATCTCGTGGCGCCGTTGCGCGGTGAAGTTTGTGCGCCGGGATAATTTCCATAGTTAGTAGTAGTAGAATTTTTACCGCATCCGGGAGGTGAACCCATATAGTGATCACCACTGTAGTTGGTACCGTTTCGGTAATTGTTAGTCGTTGGCTGATGAGATCCCGTTATGGCTTTAGGACTTGGTATAGCCATAGACTTATAGTCAAGTATTGCTGGGTCAGAGTTCATGATTGGCGGCTGGAACGTTTTCCACTGAGGATTGCTGGACATTGTCTTCTCGATTTGCGCAGTGCTTGTATGTGTGTTATGTTTATATGTGTGTATGTGTGTATGTAATATTTATGTATAATTTAGATCTTCTTTTCTCTTGAAAGAATTACTTAATTCCCCTTTATGTTCGCACTTCTGTTTCACCACGATATATATATATACTTATATTTAGAAATTTTTAGTCTTTTCAATTATTTAAATGTTAACATAGATATCACAGAACGGTTCTTGGTACCTTATGTCTTTGTTCACTATTATAATGTTACAAGAACTTAATGAAGAGGAAGAGTGGCTCCTTGAAATGCCGCAGAAATGCAGGCTTCTTCGTGACCAGGAAGTGGAAGTGAGGTCTCTTCAAACGTATTTCAACGCGTATCGTGAATTATTTATCGGAGAGTACCGCGGTAGCTCGACACGAACTTGGCACTCCTTGAACGCAGATACGGATGTTCTATCAACCAAGCGGAGCAGCACAATCTCAGCCGCAATCACAATCACGGTCACTGTATTGGCTCACCTATCTCTTGCTCACAAGGCTTGTTGTGTGTACACAATATACAAATGAACGATGCAGTTAATGCTGATTTATGAATTAATACAAGTACAAAATCTTAGCACACCATATACTGTCGATACTTTCCATACGTATATGCTTGAATATTATAACAACTGTTTGATAAATACTCAATTTAGCGTGCACTAGAATAACTGTGTTCTTCTTAAACATCAGTCATCCTTTATAAAAGGAGTAAATCAAAAACATAGGAGATTTAAAGGATAAATGTTGACTTGAAAATCCTCAGATGTCTTCAATGCGTGCTGAGTGTGATTGTGTTCTTCCGATATTTCTATAGTAGCGTTTCCTTCTTCAGCTTTTAAATGTGGAATTTACAGTGAGCCTTGGTTTCAGAAGTGTCCTAAACTAACAATTACACAAGCTGCAAAAAGAAAAAGAGACAATTGTGAAGAAGTTGAAGGATCATATTTCAAATACAAGATATATCTAATTTATCATACAATAATTGCGATTCTTGTTATCAAAATACTGGAATGTATAGGATATACGATGCTTTATCTTTAAGCAATATCATATCTCATGATATAAGCTGAGTTAAACACACACAGGATAAAAGTATTTAGCAAAAATGATTAGATAATAAACAAATTTGATACTCAATATGCAAAGAAATATTATTTGTACGAAATTTTCTGAAAAAAAAAATTAATATTACAATTTTTATTATCCAATGCATAGAATAATTGTATTATTGTAACTACGTAAGAATAAGAAAAAAATAAGTAAAGAGACTATGAAGATCCTATCATGTAATATACACAGGACAATCTTAGTCAAAAGCATTAATGCAGAAACACAAAGAATTCAATCATTATACGCGGATCTTAAATGCAGATAACTGCATATATTATATATGCGCATAGGTTACGTTATCTCTGCAGAAGACGGCAGGGTAAGTTTCTTTTTCTTTTTTTTTCGATGGAAAAAGTCTCCGAGCGAACAAAGCGAAAATAATTACGCTCTTATATCCATAGTGCTCTACGGCGGGAGAGGAGCGCGCTCCTTTTCCGATAATCTGACAATTCGGCATTTAACTCGGCGTACCGCGAAACGTACTGTTTCATATCGTTATGTGTTGCCCACATGATCGCTGCAAAATTGCGTGTAACGCGACATTCCACGTTGCCGCGGCATTGCGTGGACACGGTCGTGAATCATCCGTGATCACGAGTCTCACGAAGTCTGCGATCTCGACCGACCCTCGCGCACAGGGCGCTATCGCCGATTATTGTTACGCCGAGTGTTGGGAGAATTCGGTAAGGGGGTAGCGGCGATCCGCGGCTGATACGCGCGAGATACGGGCTCGATAATGGTGGATCGGTGGACGGACGACGATCGGCCGCGCTCGGGTCCGGTCATTTCGAGGATCCCTCTCTCTCTCTCTCTCTCTCCCTCCGCCGTTTCGGCCGGAGGAGCAACGGTCAAGTCGTATTATCATTTGCGCTCGCCGCGGTTACGAGGCTCTGACTTTTTTATGAGGTCGCGGGCCGCCTCTCTTATCTCGTCGCGCGCGCGGAGCCGCGGGTTATTCGGCGCGTCCGCGCCACCGAATCGGCCGAACATTAGCACGCTCGTCAGCGTGGAATCGCGCCGATCCGGCTGACGCGCTTTTCTACACGAGGCTCGCAATAGTACGGCGGTAAGAAGGCTTTTCAAGACTCACCACGACACAGCACAGCACTGACGACATGCCGCCATGTTGAATGTCAACATTCAGCATTCGGGTACGCACACACGGGCAGCCGCCAACACGTAGGCAGCCCGGTGGCGCTTTAAAGTCCAATCCACACACAACGGCGATCGAGACGATCGACGTTTTTCAACGTCGTCGATGAGCGCAGGGTGAACACTTTCTTACAACCAATGAAATTTCCTCGCCGAAGCTGAAGGCATTTTAATTCATGGCCCGAGAAAACAAGTCTATAAGTACGTAATATTATTTAATAAGTGATATTTCTGGAATATTAATAGATGATTATGTCCAGCTCTAATAATATTTAAAAATAATATTATCTAATATTATTGTAATATTATATTGTTTTTTATTTCAAATGTATTACACAATACCAATTATTTTATTATATAAATAAGGTCGAAATAATTTTGTGTAAAAATACTTTTTATACTAAAAAAATTATATATATATTTCTATATTATTATTTTATTTTTTTTATATTTAAGAACATTTTTATAATATGCCGAGAATATTATGTGAAGTGGACATATAACATCAATAAAGCATTCCTATAATATAAAAATTTTTAGAATATTAAAAGAATGTTATGTTAATATTTAATAACATCCATATAATATTTTAGGAATATTACGCGCTTATAAGGTATTATTCAGATACAAGTTATAGATAGTTTTTAGCTCCTACAAGGAAATTTCATTGGCTGTAAGACACACAACCATATACCTGTTCTTTCCCATACAGCACAAAAGCTTACAGCGCACTTGCTTACTTGCTGCAAGCTTCTGTTTAGCTGAAGTAAGTTGCACTTTTTGCTGTAAAGCGAAGCAAGTATATAACTTAACGTTGAGATGAGAATACGAAATTCCAGTGCAACACTAGTTCAGCTACAAAGAATAGTCATTGATCCTGTTCCGAACTTTACATTTATCCTCCGCAAGTCGGAACAATCGTTCTATTCTGTATTCGCTGTCATTTTGACTAGGCGCTATATAAACGGTACGGTACCCATTCAACGAACACAACGATTATACAACCGTTGAGTAACAGTTACCTATGATTGGTGTATACTTGTAGACCTGCCAATCGCGTGCCGTCATCGTCCAGAAGTGGATCACTCAACTGTTGTGTTCACTGTACCTACTGTCCTTCCTCGTTCGTCGCGTTCATGTGCACGAGCAATGTTAACGTAAGTACAGTTACATCTGTATTTTCACGATCCCATCAGCGTAACACAATTGTTACTTGTTTATGGTTATAATCAAAAAAAAATATTTTTACGGGTGACGTTTGTGTAGTGAAATTGGCTGGAATAGGCGGAGGAACGACACATTACGATTATTATTGCGCACCTGATGCGCACGTATCCTGTGTAAACTGTGTAGTTTCACGGATCGTGAAATGGAGAGTATATTTCACGAGAAGGTAAGTACACGGCCACGGTAATTCGGACACGTCTCCGTGTAAAATAGGATCGCGCCAAACATCCTCGCCGATGTTTTGCAGCAAGAGGGATACCTATGCGCCCAGCATTGCCTGAACGCGCTTCTACAAGGCCCGTATTTTAACGCCGTAGACCTGGCGAATTTTGGACACCAGATGGACGAAGAGGAGAGAATCAGGATGGCCGAATCGGGCGTCGACAGCGAGGATTACAAGCTCTTCTTGGAGGTAAACATTACCTCGCAAGTGAAGCTTTCGAATATCACGTACATATACTGCAATAAATGATCAGAACACCACTTGCACCACAATTTGTGATTCAGGTTACGCTGAAAACGTCGCTTTTTCTCTTTGATACTTTCTTGACATAGATGTCCAAAAACACTTGGTCTTGTTATTACCTTAGCCAAGAGCCAAGCTAATATGAATAATTATGAGGGAAACGAGTTGTTATAGAATCTGACAAAGCTAACGATATATACAGATGTGAAAGTTGAAATTATACATTGCAGAAATAGTTAAGATTAATTAAATATAGCATATCATATACAGTCACAATTGTAAAGAATAGTTTATACATATGAAGATTTACACACAGATATATATCAATATATAGATATATATTAGTATACTAATATATAATATATACTATTATATATATAATATATAACTAATATATAAGTATATATTATATATTTACATATAAATATGTATTACATATTATACACAACTATAATATATACAGGTCAACTTACAATGTTTACTTATCGAGATTCTCGTTCGAAAAGAAATTATTTCCCTTCATAATTATTCAAATATATTTATAACAACAGCAAAGTGCTTCTTATGTTTAGCAACCATCGGGAAACATGGACGACAGTGGATACTTTTCAGTTCAAGTTATTAGCAGTGCTTTGAAAGTTTGGGGTTTAGAACTGATTCCATATAACAGCACGGAACCGACAGCTTTACTGGCACAGCATGATCCTTCGTAGGTTATTTGTTAATTCGTTTTCATCAGGGACCATTTGAGTTATTTTCGAACACTTTGCACTCGCAACAAGGATTTCTCTTTAAAGACTCTTCATACTTTGTAGGGTATTCATAATAACAACATAATAAATTATGTAAATCGACACATTATCAATAATCATACTTATGCATTCAGACACATATTTGAAAAAAATGCCAGATACGTTTTATAAAATGACATATAAATTGATTTGATTTTCAGACGGATGAAAGCATACATCTGTAATTACAGAGGGCACTGGTTTACAATACGAAAAATCGGAAATCAGTGGTTTAATCTAAATTCAATGCTCAGCGGTCCACAACTTATATCAAACACTTATCTTGCGATGTATCTAGCTCAATTGATTCAAGAAGGTGAGCATAAAACGAAAAGCGAATGTAACAGCGATGAGAAGACATCGCGTCAGCGATCGTTAAACACGTTTTTTCTCGCAGGCTATTCTATCTTTATTGTTAATGGTACATTTCCACAATGTCCTGCTGAGGATGTCCTTTTGAAAAATCCCGTAGTCGCGACAACGCAGAGGAACGAGAAGTTAGATTCAAAGACACAAGATTATCGTATAGGCACCAAGGCGGAAGACGACGTTATGAAAGCCGCGCTCGCGATGAGCGAAATCGAAATTCCACAGTCATCCTGCGCGGCCAGAGACCCCTCGTTTCCGCACCAACCTGAGATATCCACGGATAAGCCTCGTGAGAGGATAGTTCCTATAAGAGTCGAGGGTCTAGGGGAAGAGGAGGAAGAGGAAGTGACCGACGAGGAAGATGAGGACGACAATATGCAGTTAGCGAGGGCGTTGGAATTGAGTTTGCAGGATTGCAGAAACGATACAGACAAAACTCTTAAATTAAGGTTGGACCTGACCGACGGTAAAACGTTGACGCATTTAACGAACTCTGCGGAGGACGCGGACGAAGACGACGAGCTGAGAAAGGCGCTACAGTTGAGCCTCGAGTGCGTGACTGCCCCACCGACACCTGATCCCGAGGATCTGCGATGGCGTCGGATGAACCACTTTGGCATATACACAAACAGGACGCCGAGCAGCGAGACTCCCGCGAATTTAAATACTTAACAATAAGCACAAATTCGGCACAATCGCAGACCTTCATCTACTGTACTAGACCACTAACAACGATACCTGAAAATCTTAGGATCTAGTTGTTGGCATCGTTTGGCATATACTTGATTATAGTAAATTCTCTGCAGGGGATACGTGATATAGGTCTAAGATTCTCTTAGTCCCGATTTACAATAGCTGTAGTAAGCATTGAGCCGTAAGAAATTGACCAGTCATAATTGATTTTTCTTCTATAATTCGACCGTGATCGGTCAATTTCTTAAAACTTGCTATACCTGTTGTAGGTCGGGACTTATACATACTATCGATTTTAACGAAGTAATAGCGAAATATCCGATTTACGGTTCACGAGTGCCGTCTTTGTGAACTCAGCCCCATCTTGTTATTCGTCTGATCCGGATGAGCTTGATCAGAGTATCGCCGTATTTCGGGAAGGCAAGAAGTGACCACAATATACAGGGTGTTACGCTTCAACTTAGAAGCGTTTCAATACACTGATACAATAAGAAAAAGTTGCTTACATGGGGGTGATGATCTTTATTTTGTAGTATTGGTGAAACAAAATAATCAAAATGTAAGCTTGTCTGTGATCGCATCAAGTTAGCTGTTTTGCTTCCCCGTGATACGGCCGTGATCATCTCTACTATTTGCATCTCACATCACATCCCGTAAACTCTGTAGATGTTAATGGTCTAGTATATATGGGAGTCTGTCGCACAAACTCTGCTATTACTAAAACTGAACCTGATCGCTACATTGTAAATTATATGATTGAGTAGTTAAGCCTGGCAGGAATGTCACTTTGTATACTAATGTTATAACGATAAGAGACGTCTTCGAATGAGATAGACTAAAGATATATTTCTGATTCCTTGAGACTGAGGGGAGCTATTATTCGTGTGCCTCCTTCTCTTTCCCAACTTTGTTATACTAATCGTTCGCAGACTAAAACAAGAAAAAGAAAACAAGTGACGAGAGGCATTGAAACTTGTTTGCCATATGATTATTTAAACACAACCGAGCGTGTGTGATACGTTGGTCTAATTAATTTTTATATATCCCATTTACCCTAACGGTGCAATTATATACATAACTGTAAACCGGAGTAACGGAGTTTCGTGCTGTAAGATAGAGCGAGGAGGAAAACTGAGCGAAACTGCTGTCTCTCTCACAATCTGAAACTGCCACAAGCGAAATGTTTAGTTCGCGTAGACGTGTCATTGGTCCGAGCACGTAGAGATAGCTGCGCACCCGACCTGCGCAGCCGAAGAAAGAACGTATGTGCTATTTTGCCCGAGCAGGTATCTGAAGTTAGCCGCTACCGGATCGAACGCATCAAATCTAGGTATCCGTGCATCATGATTGTTGACGAAAAAGAAAACCAAAATGTGTTTATCGATCGACTTAATGTGACACATTAAATTTATCGATGAGATATAACCGATATGCTTCTTCCTCTTTCAACCTAACATTTTTCATCTCGCGCAAGCGGAGTTTTCAAATCGCCAAAGCCGAAAGATTTCGGACCAGAGCGAATCAATGTGTGTGTGTATGCGTGCGTGCGTGCGTATATGCGTACATCGGTTTCTAACTAGATTCGAAATCATCGAAGGGGCGCAATCGCCGTGACGGCGCGCACGTTAAAGCAACGCCATCGCGATCCCGCCGAACAGAACACGGAAAATCCACTGAGGTAAGGCAATGTACGCGTAATGATACGTCACTGGCGTGCACTGTCCCCGCGAGTATCAGCGAGTAAACAAAAGTAACAAAAATTTATCCGAGAGAGAGAGAGAGAGATCATCCTCCGCCTGCTCAGGGCCCGTCTACTGCCACGGCGCGAAAAGGAGCGTGTACTCGATCGACGTGTGCACGCTCGAGGACCGCCGGCCGCTAACGGGAGAGAGAAGATCGCACGAGCGAGGAAGTGGTATTTCGCGAGGGGGAAGCATATTCGCGTACACAGCGCTCAACGATATAACGCCGGGCGAGCGAGCGGACGAGTCGGTCGCGCGGCAGTGGTGGTGAGGCGGCGGCGGTAGCGACGACGACGGTAGCGGTGTTGGTAGCGGCACGATTCTGTGCGGCGTCGACAACCTGCCAGTGAGGAGGCCACCCGACGACACCTGCTCTCGACGAGGAGAACGCCGCGGGAACGGACGTGCATGCGTGCGTGCGTTGCACACGCAGGGACGGACGTACGGCGACGGCCATGCTCAAACAATCGCCGAGCGTAGCGCGCGGTGCGAGAGATGCAGCGATAATAGTAAAATAGAGGAAGAGAGATAAAGGGAGAGAGAGAGAGAGTGAGAAGGAAGGACGGAAGGAAGGAGGGAGCGAGCGAGAAAGAGAGGGAGGGAGAGAGAGAGAGAGAGAGAGGCCGAGAAAGAGTGAGCAAGAGAGAGAGGACACCGATCTCCGTTCGCAGCAGCCGCGCGCGCTCGAGCCTACGAGAGGAGACGAACTAATCTCCGCGTCGAGTCGAATCGCAAATCGGACACGAGACCGCGTTATATCGGAGCGTGCGAGGGCGAGGAACACCGGAGGAGCGGCCGGAACGGGCGGAAGTGTGGGCCGTGCGTGTGCGTGCGTGCGAGCTAGCAAGCCAGCGAACGAGCGAACGAACGTGCGTAGGGCAAGGGGGTAGTAGGCAGACGGACGGTAAGCGGGCAGGGGCCCGTGTGCGGTCGAGGCTCCGAGCGGGGGCCAGTTACTCGCGATGAGCGCCAAGACGGACGTGAACAGGCGGGTGCTGGCGATCCAGGCGAAGAAGAAACGGCACAAGCCCAGTAAGCGCAAAGGCAAGGCGAACTCTCAGGGCGAGCAGGACGCGCAGTCGTCCAAGGGGCCGCGCGGTCAGGTGGCGGCCGCCGCCGCTGGATACTCCGACGGCGCCACGGCGCAGCGCTCTTATCCCAGCGACAACGGGAACAGGTAAAGTCGCGACCGGCGAAGGTGCGCCCAGCACGCGCTACCTGCCGCGCGCACCGTGTAACGTTACGTCGGGACTGGCGCTCTCGCGGTGCCAACCGTTACGCGCTCGTTTGTCCGCGTGTTTTATCGCCGCGACGAGGGTCACATGGCGCTTTCGGGGTTACGCGCGATAACGTCAAGCACGGGTCTGGCTTCGCCACGGCTTCGCCGGCTGACAGCTCGGCGATCCCGCGACTCGGCCCGCTAATCGTCGCGTCTGGAATGAGCCGTGGTTCCATTTTCTCGCCGCCGTCGCTCCGACGGGAGGTGTTACGTATAGCCACTGGGGCTGGTGTAGTACACACGATATGTCCTGTGTCTCTTCCGACCCGCTGATTCCTCGGTGCGTCTTAAACCGATATTTCACATTCACGAATGTAGTCAGGGCGTTGATTTGATTTTGAGTTGGGATTTTTAAGCCACACTGTGAAAAGCGAGATCTCTGTGGAAACTGAGCTTCCAAATTGCCAGTAGCTGATGACAGTTTATTTTTAGGGCGATGTCACGTGTCAGTTTTACTTTAATGAAACCGTAAAGCTTGGCTGTACGTTGAGACATGTTCAAGATTGAAGGTTTTTACAAATTGTGATAAACACGTGTCCACAGAGGAGTTAACTGTGAACATTCCGTGTGGATTATGGCTCCTTATTTGTATTTATGATGGATACATTTGTCGTAGATTGGAACAATGTCACAGTTCCAGCAACGAGACGATAGAGGATGACGACGAGGTGTTCAGTAGCGAGGATGAAGAGCAGGAGGACAGCAGTGACTATTGTAAAGGCGGGTACCATCCCGTGAAAATAGGAGATCTCTTTTTAAATCGGTACCATGTCACTCGTAAGCTCGGCTGGGGCCACTTCTCCACTGTATGGCTCTGCTGGGATCTGCAGGTAACGACATCTTCGTGATTACTATCAATGATCTCCTCTCTTACACTTATAAATACGGGCTGTCTTGAAAATATTCTGCAGGATAAACGCTTTGTGGCGCTTAAAGTCGTGAAATCCGCATCCCATTTCACTGAGACTGCATTGGATGAAATTAAATTATTAAAAGATGTGCGCGACACGGATCCCCCTGATCCAAAGCGCAATAAGACCGTCCAGTTGCTCAATGACTTCAAGATCAGCGGCATTAATGGTCTGCATGTTTGCATGGTATTTGAAGTGCTCGGACATAATCTTCTTAAATTGATTATCAAGTCTAACTACAGAGGAATTCCAAGAAATAACGTTAGACGCATCATCAGACAGGTCCTCGAAGGCCTCGACTATCTTCATAATAAATGTAAGACGATTGTTTCAATCACATTAGTAGTAGTAAAACTTGTATGTTTAGTGTTGTACATTTAGACATTTACATATTGATACAGCAGTGCAATAGAATGCTATAAGAAAACAATACTGTATATAATACGTACACGTAATGTATATACATATATAGTCTATATATATATATATATATATATATATATATATATATATATATATATATATATATATATATATATATATATATATATATATATATATATATATATATATATATATATATATATATATATATATATATATATATATATATATATATATNTATATATATATATATATATATATATAGAATAATTTACACACAATTGTACATATACAGAATATTAAATATTGAGAGTAATCCGATGAGAAGTATTGAGAATATCTATATGCTACAGTCACCGCAATATTGCGACATATGGAAATCCACGATTATGTAATACATCGAATTTCCTTGCAGGTAAAATTATTCATACAGACATTAAACCTGAAAATGTTCTCGTGTGCGTCGACGAAACTTACATTCGAAAATTAGCTTGCGAAGCGACGGAACTGCATTCAATGGGAGCGAAGCTGCCGGTGTCCCTGATATCGACCGCGCCGAAGGAGTTTCAGGAGCCGACTCCGAATTCGAAGATGTCCAAGAACAAGAAGAAGAAGCTGAAGAAGAAGGCCAAACGTCAGAACGAGCTCCTGAGGAAGCAGATGGAGCAGATCGAGGAGTTAGAGGAACAAAATAAGCTCGCGAACAGCACGAGAGAGAACGGGGAGGTCGAGACGAATAGCCTGGACCAGGACCTCAACACAGAGAGCATAGAGGACAATACGGAGAGCAAAGGTTCGCCCGACATCTCGGAGCCGTCCGCACCCTCTTTACACATGAACGGGGTGGACGGTTTGGCAGGCGGTGAGAAAATACAGAACCCGTCGCCCGAGCAATCCGAGAAGATGGAGAACGTGACTCTCTGCGACGTGGAGAAGAGCTGCGGTGAGGGCGTGCTGCCGCCCGATCCGGAGGATACCGACGAATGTAGCGAAGGTAGAGTGCGATCCCGTGGTCAGAAGAAGACATGGCTGCGTTTTCTCTTGTTCCGACCATCCGTTGTTCATCGTCTCATTCGCAGGTCGTAATTTAAATCCGCCGGAGAGTAAGCAACTGAAACGGGCGTCTGTGGCGCCTCTGGATCCGGCTATAGTGGAGTGCGAGGTCGACGTGAAGATAGCGGATCTCGGCAACGCGTGCTGGGTCCATAAAAAGTTTACAGACGACATTCAGACTCGTCAGTACAGGTCGTTGGAGGTCCTACTGGGATCTGGATATGACACTTCCGCGGATATATGGTCCACCGCTTGCATGGCGTTCGAATTGGCGACCGGAGATTATCTTTTTGAACCTCACAGTGGCAAGGATTACTGCAGGTGATAAATTACGAATCTTGATTGCAATTAGAGCAGACTGGCGCGGGTGACGGACGAGGAACAAGTTCCGTTTGGTAAATTTACCTGTAACTTCAGGCATAAATCCAATAAACATTCTCCGAATCTCGGTTACTCGGCTTTAGGAATCCTTTGAATAATTTATAGGAGAAATAACTGACGGAGAAATCAGATTCGTCTTCCCTTTGTTGCTTTATTTATTTCCAAGGTACGTCGATCCATTTTGATTTGTTTGGACTTCTTGGAATTGATCAAGAGCAGCTTCTTCTTTCGCTACTTGCCCCAGTCTACCGGAGCGTGTAATCGTTCTCCCTAGCGGCGCTATTTTAAGTATCCAATCTATTCCCGTTAACATTTCAGAGATGAAGATCACTTGGCTCATATTATCGAGTTGTTGGGAGAAATACCGAGACGTATCGCGCTCTCGGGTAAGAACTCGAAGATATATTTCAACAAGAAGGGCGAGCTGAAGCATATCACCGTGTTGAAGCCGTGGGGTCTGTACGAAGTGCTGACAGAAAAATACGAATGGACGCAGAGCGAAGCGCGCGAGTTCGCCGAGTTCCTAACACCAATGCTCGAGTTCAATCCGAGCATGCGAGCTACCGCAGCCGAGTGCCTGAAGCATCCGTGGCTGCAAATCAAAAAGTGATCGCGTTCTTTTTTTTTATCGTTTTACCTGTAATCCCCTCGACTCTCATCCCGGTCCTAACGCCCAGATCGCAATCGTAAAAATCGAGAGTGTGATAGGAAGCCGAGAGAAAAAAGAAAAGAAACCTGCAGGTGTCAGAGCGCGGGCGTCATCACATACATACACACACACACACACACACACAGCCACATACACACCCGCGCCGAGTCGCAATTCCGTGACCCAATTTACATACGAGTAATGGTGGTTCGAATTCCAAGAGCGCACACCACAAAACTATTTGATACACAAGACGAGAAATACGGGAACGAATTGTAACATACGTTATTATATTATAATCGCCACACGAGGGATGTCTTCGCGTATAGGGGATTGTAAACCGAGAGAGAAAGGAAGGAAAGGAGGAAAGAGAAAGAGAGAAATGTTCCAAGAGAGGACTGTTAATACCCTTTATAAATGGTGATTGACAATATCACGGAAGTCGTTCCGGGAAGTTTCTCGAGCGCAGCGAGCGAAGTGTCGCAAAATCCGAAAATCGTCCCGGAGACGGGAAGATCTTGCCACATTCCGCTGACTTTCCATAACGGCCGTGCGTGCGCGCTTCCTAACATGCAACACTCTCAAAAAGACATCGGCTGACGACCATTCGCGTAGTAGTGTTACTTACACTTGTTAAATCATATTTTTAATTAGAGATGAGAGACTTAAATTAAAGAATTTCATAGTACTTTGTTACTTTACGCATATGTCGCGCATATGTCGCATCCTATCGGTAAACCGCCGTTTAATTTAGCTACGAATATTCCAAGATTCGTGGGACCCACTCGTGATGCGCCGTGACGATACTGGCGGGCTCGGTAACGTGTTTGGTTTAAAATTAGGCCGTTCGCCTTGACTCAGTTAATATCCGTGTTATACTCTTTTTTCCCCCCCGTGCTGTACTGCGCACCGGCGGTCGCTGTAAATTCTTGCCAACAGAGACTCGAGTCGAGTAATCGCAACGAGATGCAGAAGTGGCTACTTAATTAATATTTTACGTCTACCTCAGAGTCTACGCGAGCCGTTCAGAAATACTCACGAACGCATGCACATACACACACACACACACACATACACACACGCGCGCGCAATGTGAGGCGTATCGCCGCAGGCATTCGCGTGTCAATCGAATTAGACGGACTTGTATATTGTAGATAAATTGAAAGAGAGAAAGAGAGAGTCGGTCACTAGATTCTTGGTATATACCTATCCAACGTGGGCGCTAATTGGGATAAGACGGGTACCGCGCGTTGTACAGTGTGCATCGACGACACATAACTCACCACATGCCATCTTAATAGCTAATACAAAATTGTAAAATAACTTTTCCAATTTGCATATATATATATATATATCTCGGCGGTTTAAGTAGACTATTTAAATTTTTTTTTCGCAGCGAGAACGGCGATAAGGCTGCACAATTGCTCTACAATTGCATACATGATATGATACAGCGTATGAGGGAGAAACCGCGCGCACACACACACACACACACACACACACACACACACACACACACACACACACAC